GACTCTGTCTCTAAAAATATATACATATGCACACACAATTTCTGTCTATCACCTCCTTGGTCCAGTCCTCTGGCTAAGGGTCTCTTAAGTGCAATCATTAGCCAGGGCTGCAATCATCACAAGGCTCAGCTGGAGAGAATTAGCTTCCAAACTCACTGTTGGATCCCCACTGGCTGGGGGCCAGATACATCAGTTCCTTGCCACATGGACCTTTACATAGGATTACTGCCAACAGAGCTAGCTTCATCCACAGAGAGGCCTCAGAGAGGGTTACAGGCTAAATGCTTGTTTATCCCCAAAATTCACATATTGAAACTCTACTCCCTGATGTGATGGTATTAGCAGATGCAGTCTTTGGGAAGCAATGTGAATTAGATGCGGTCATGAGGATGAAGCCCTGGGAATGGGATTAGTGTCCTCATGAGTGTTCTGAGCTTGCTTCCTGTTCCTGCCACAGTAACAAGGCTGCCATCCATGCCTTTGCTACCGTGTTTCCCTGCAAATAAGACCTACCCCAAAAATAAGCCCTAGCAGGATTTCTATGGGTTTGTTAAATATAAGCCCTACCCCAATAATAAGACCTAGTGATGGGCGTAGCTATGCAGCATATCTGCATAGCCATGCCATAGATTTCGGGACAGAGAGGAAGACATACCCTGAAAATAAGCCCTAGTGTGTCTTCTTGAGAAAAAATAAACATAAGACAGTGTCTTATTTTCAGAAAAACACAGTAGATACCTATGGCTCCTTGATCCTGGGCTCCCCAGCCTCCACAGTTGTGAGAAATAAATGTTTACTGCTTAAGCCACCCATTGTGGTAGATATTTTGTTATAGAAGCTCAAACTAAGATAGCAAGAGAAACAAAAGAAAGCCACAGTCTTTCTGTAACCTAATCTCAGAAGTGACATTCCATTGCTTTGACTATACCCTATTCATGTGAAGTAAACCAGCTCTTGCTCAAAGGGTTACCTAGGAGGTGACACCAGGAGGAGGGATCACTGGGAACTCCCTAGAGACTCCTTATGATAAGTAATTTGGCCTCTCTGTAACTCAATTTTATCATCTATAAACCCTATAAAAGACACTGGAAGGATTAAAAGAATGTTAAAGGGCTTAGATACGCATTAATATGATAAGCGTATTAATATGTAAAGTACTTAAGTATGTAAAGTACCTGGCACAGGGTGAACACTGGAGAAAATTAGCTAAATACAGCTACAAAAATAATGCAAATACATAGACCAGTGATTTTTCAACCAGTGTGCCATGAGATCTTAGGTGTGCTACAAAAATGTTTAAAGATCATTAATTAAATTATTCTCAAAAGAAGCTAAAAGCACAATGAGTATTTTTTTTGCTATTTTTTGATCAATGTAATTTAAGTGTGCTGTGGAAGTTTAACTATAGGTTCAAGTGTGCTGTGAGATAAAAAAAGGTTGAAAGACACTGATATAGACCTACACTGTGTAGTATAGAGTGCTAAGTCCACGGTGGTGGTTCAAGAAACACTTGAATTAAATGATCCACAATTATTCAAAAGAAGCTTGAGCATGTGGAAATTACCCCAGAAACACACGTGCCTTACAAAGCTAAGAGTCCCTACCTTAATTACCAGGTGGCCTCACAGTCACCTCCAAATTTCCCACAAGCTTTCCCCTTACGAGAAATTTCCACACAGCAAGCCCCAATGCAGACCTGAGTCATCTCCAAAAGGCCAACCACATTTTGCTCTGCAAATGCGCAGCACTTGCCTGATTACAGAAGTTGCCCTATTTGCAAAACCATACAATTTGTAAGTTATTGAAAGAAGGGCAAGAGTTTATCTGCCTAGCTGGAGCATTGCTCATTGTGCTCAGCAGTTTAGGTGAGATTAGGGACTCACCTGTGACTTTTTAACACGACTCACCCTCATATTTTAAGAAAGGGTTACTCACTACACCCCCAGGTTAACATAGAACAGGAGATAGGTTGAAGAGAGGTACCCTGCTTGACATATGCAATCCCAGACTCAGTGGGCGGGGGGAATTGAGGGTAACCTCTCATCTAGCAGATGTGGCAAATGAGTCATGATTCAAGAGATAGCAAAAGGCCAGACCTTCCTCCTCAGGCCACAAAGTCACCCATTAAGCCGTGGCCCCGAAGCAACAGCAACACTCACAAAAGAAAACAAATCTTGGAACACCTCGACTCAGCACACCTTTTCAGTGCCCGTGCTGACTGCCCCCCTGATAGGCATCTCACCATGCCCACCTTTCTCGGATTCAAAAACCCCTTAGAAGGAGAAGGAGGAGGACTGCAAAGACCTGCCTGGAAAGGCCACTGATGTGGCTCAACAGTCAGGCCTGTCTGCACGCTTCCTGCCTACCTTCACCAACTACCCAAAATTGTTTTGTTTTTGTGTTTTAATCACCACAGTCAACTTAGGAACGCAATGATGTGAAAGAGGAAGCAAAAGGGGATGCTTTACATCAGGGGAGGCATCTGCCAGGATAAGAGTGAATGAGTTACTTGCGCTTTTAGAAAAAGAAATCAAATTCTCTCTGCAGAGAATTGCTTTTCCTGTTCTTAGTTTCAGCAACTCACAAACCAAATGGCTTTTGAATGACCAGGGCCTACCGGGCTAGAACACTGTGAGCTAGTAAACCCCGGGAATGGAGGGCATCCGCACCGGCAGACTGAGGTGGAGGGAAAGAAAACACATTCCCATAATAAATTCCAATCGCTTGGGTTTGAAACCAAGAGTGGAAAATATTGCATTTTTCCAATAACAGTGAAACTGTGGGCAAGTTTTTTCTGTCATCACTATTATGTTTTTATGTCAGAAAAAAAGTGAAAATGGAATAAATAGAGTATGATTTAATTTTTCTCTCAAGACCAGTTAAGGAAAAAAATGATGTAAAGTTTGCCCACAAAATTCAGTGCTTTATTACAGGCTCTGCAACTGTTTTCTGACTCTGTGGAGTGTGCTAATCTTAACTCCTTCACCAGATTATAAGTAGGAGTCAGGCATAATTAAGAGGCATATAAACTAGTAGTTAAAAAGGGCTCTAGGGCGTGTTTCAGCATTCTCAGCTGTGTGATCTTGAGCAAATTAACCTATGTCTCAGTGTCCTCAACTGTAAAACGGAAATAACATTAATACTTACCTTGTAGGGTTGTTGCAAAATACTTAAAATTATCCATGCCCACATAGCAGGCACTCAATACATATTAGTTACCATTTATTTATATTCCCCATAGCACCTATCCAAAAACTCAGGTGCAGCCATATTACTAAAGACCTTTTCACAAACCTATAGTACCTGGCCAGGCACAGTGGCTCACCCCTGTAATCTCAGCACTCTTGGAGGCTAAGGCAGTTAGATTGCTTGAGCTCAGGAGTTTGAGACCTCATCTCTAAAACTAGCAAGGTGCTATGTTGGGCACCTGTAATTCCAGCTACTTGGGGGGCTGAGGCAAGAGGATCACTTGAGCCCAAGAGTTTGAGGTTGCTGTGAGCTATGACATCAAGGCACTCTACCAAGGGCAACAAAGTGAGACTGTCTCAAAAAAAAAACCCAAACCTAAAGTGCCCCTCTTATCATTGAGGTAAACCTGTAAGCCAACTGAGGTTTCCCATGTGCTAACCTGCCATCATGTTCTCCAAGTCTCAATGCACCCCTGGAATGCATTCTTCCCTCTGTGCTCAGCTCCCGCTACAATGCCTTCAAACGCCTACTCCCTCCTATGCTTCTAAAAGGCCTCTTCCATGAGCGTTTGGTTATTGGGCTTTTCTCCCTTACTAGAATGTAAACTCAGTGAAAATCATTTCAGTGCCTGAAAGTAGCTAGTAAGTACATAATAGATGCTCAGGAAACAGATTGAATCGTATCTGTACCTATTAAGTTTTTTCAAGACTTAGATCAATTCTATTCATGCAGTCTTTCTAGAAGCCCTTTATAAGATTAAATTTTATTTTTCCTGAGCTCTAACAGCATTATTTCTTGGGATATTTTATTTTACTGAGATTCACTAATATTAATACTAAACATTTGTTAATATTTTTTGGAAAATAACAGCTAACGTTTGAACAGTGCTTACTTAACACGGGTGAGGTTCTATTCTAAGAACCTGGCATATGTCAAATTCATTTTGTCTTCATTGTCCTGCTCAGAAGATAGAAATTCTTTTTATTCCACTTTTACAGGTGAGGGATTTGAGGCCCAGAGAAATTAAAGAACTTGCCCAAAGTCACACACGTGACACGTAGAGGGCACCAATTTTCACTGGGTCCTAAGAGTTGTTCCTTACCTCTGTTTCTCCTACAAAAGAATATCTGATTTGTAACTAGGTAGCCCCTCCCCTATTCCAATATCGTTGGATCTACCAAAGTCTTCAGAAAAGCAATTCAACTAGGAGCACACGGTATACGTCAAATTAACGTGTAGTTCATTGTGAGCCCTCACACCCTCCATAGCGTCACCTCTGTGCGTGCGGGATGAGTGCCTACACCACGCAACAAAGAAGAGGACGTAGCGCGTTACACCGGAGGGTCACCTACTGTCTTTCTGGGCCTCCTGTTTCTGGCATTCCTTAGTTGATCTTTTCTCCTCTTTGACATCGATGCCCAGGAATGAGCTCTCCCCAGCCAACCAAAGAAGCCAGAGGCCCTCTTTCGGAGCTTTCGCCAGGTGGACAGGTAAAGGAATAAAAGTCCCCACCCCTTAGGGACCAGCCCCACCCTTAACAGCACAGTACTAGTTTGTGTGCTGGCTGTTGACCCAGCTCCAGCCCCTTGCTCTGCTGCCGCCCAAAGCTCCTCCTCCCGACCCGGTGTTCCAGGCTAAGAGCCCAGCCGGTCGCGTCGAGCTTCCCCCGTGACTCAACCCGGAGAAGAAGAACCTCTCACTTTTTTCCCACCATCCCAACGGCCCCGCCCCGCCCAGCCGGCCCGCGTTCTGTCCCGCCCAACGTCCACGCCCCCACCCTGCCTGAAGTTGCCCTCCCGGTTCCAGCCCGCGGACGCGTGGGCCCAGCTCCCCGGGGTGTGGCCAGAGGACTTGGGCGACGCCCCCTTGAGGGCGGCCCCTTCCCTCAACCCGGAAAAGGCGACCCCGTGCGGCGGCGGCGAGTGGGGCATGCTCACTGGCGCCGGCCGGGCCGCAGCCCGAGCAGGAAGCGCCCGCGCTAGGCGGCCCTGTATGTACTTTGCCTGCTGGAGCCGGGCGGAGCTCGCGCCCCGGCGCTGGGTGGCTCTGCTAGTCCCCGCGCGCCTGGAAGGCCGCACACGTGTCCAAGCGTCACGTCCGCGCGCGCCCCCGGGGCTTGCGTCAGCTGCTGCTCTAGAAGCTGGTGGGCCGGAACTCAGCGCATCGCTTGGGTTTGGGGCCCGGACGCCGCTGGGAGGGCACCGCGCGGGGTCCCACGCGGTGGCGTGTTCAGAACGCCGGGGACAGTCTAGAGCGTCGGCGTGGTCCAGCCCCCTGCCTCTACGGTGCCGATCGTCTCCGCCGCCCGGTCCCAGGCTGGGCGCCGTGGCTTTGCCCCGGAGCTCGCTGCCCGCGGGGCGCGCACCGCCTTGACCCGGGCGGCCCCGCGGCAGGCAAGCGCCCGCAGTTCCATGGTTGTTTCAGAGCGCGATGAGCCGCCCGTCCTCCACCGGCCCCAGCGCTAACAAACCGTGCAGCAAACAGCCGCCGCCGCAGCCCCAGCACGGTCCGTCCCCAGCTGCGCCCCCGGCCGCCGCCACCATCTCGGCTGCGGGCCCCGGCTCGTCCGCGGTGCCCGCCGCGGCGGCGGTGATTTCGGGCCCCGGCGGCGGCGGCGGAGCGGGCCCGGTGTCTCCGCAGCACCACGAGCTGACCTCGCTCTTCGAGTGCCCGGTCTGCTTTGACTATGTCCTGCCTCCCATCCTGCAGTGCCAGGCCGGGCATCTGGTGTGTAACCAATGCCGCCAGAAGTTGAGCTGCTGCCCAACGTGCAGGGGCGCCCTGACGCCCAGCATCAGGAACCTGGCTATGGAGAAGGTGGCTTCGGCAGTCCTGTTTCCCTGCAAGGTAAGCCTAGGGACGGCTGGCGCACTTCTTCCCGGCGACCTTCTCGACTCCAGTGTCCTCCAAGCCCACTCGCAGGCCCTGAGAGGCGAGTGGCATCTCTCGTTTTAAAAAAATGTTAACACTTTGTCCATCCTCCCCCATGCCCACCTGTCCACTTTGGGAAAAGTTCAGGGTTGATATCTGCCCGATTCCTGACCCTTAGATTAATTGGCACTCGCCGACAGTTGGAACACACCGAAGCCCTCCCGGTCCGGTGCCTACGTCCCCTACGCATACTGAAACGTATGCTCAGTACAGCTGGGCCGCGCAAGTAAAACTCGGATAGGGAAGCTATCTATGGGGATAGAGGAGGGAGGAAATGCGCGAGCTGAACGCATCCTTGACCAGTACTCGGCTTGGCAGGATCGGTCCTAGATTCCTCCTGCACCCTGTGCCTGCCGTCTGCACATCCCTGACACGTGGGAGCTCTCGGGAGTGTAGCTAAAAAAAAGAAGAAGAAGAAAAAGAAAAAGGCGCCCACACCCTGTTTTCCTCTTGCTACAAGAAAAGCCACGCCTTTCCCCCTCCTGGCCTTCCAAAGACTGGGAAGGACTGAAGAGTTATGGCTGTTTTTATACTCAGTGGGGCGAAAACATCCACTTAGGAAATTAACAAGGGCACACCAAGAGCCGTTGTTACAGTTCTTTAAAGCTCATCACTTTATTTTTGATTTCGTTCAAAAGGTTATCAGTGTCCCTGTAAAGAATGCAAACCATCAAGACAAGAAAAGTCAAATGAAACGCCAAGACCTCTCTGTCCCTTCCCCACGATTGTTAGGTTTAGTATGTATCTTTGTAGACTTTTTAAACCATATGTACAGACACCCTTGCAGCGAAATGTAGCATAGATGTCAGTGTGTGTCAGGAAGGTTTTTTAATACTCAACACATACAGTTTTTCTCCAAAAATGGTTTCTGCAAGTTGCCGTTTTAAAATTCGTGTTATCACACATTTTTGTATGTCTGAAACCTATTTCCACCTCATTGTATTTTAAATGTCTGCATAATATCACATTGTTTGGTCATTGTAGTAACATTTGTTTACCTACCCTACATCTATCACTTAGAAATCTACAGGAGCAATTTCACAGACATGCCTGTCTGTATTACCTCATTATAACCTATAGCTGTACTGTGAAGTTCATTTTTTGAAATTAAAAGTGGAAATAATGTAATTAATAACGTTGAGGGTGTTTTTGTAAAGTTAAGTGCTCTCCCTCCTTGGCTGTTTAAGCTGTCTTGTGTTTCTCCTTGCTGCTTATTATTTTATATGACAAGAGCTCATTTTTTAAATTAAAAATAATCCAACTGAGAATTCAGGCTTAGGACTGAGGTCAGTAAAAGAAGTGATTTTATTGGGTCTGCTGCCCTGCCACAAAGTTTAAAATAGCATATTTCAAATAAGGGACTGAATCAATGTTTGGACTATGGGATTTCAGGCAACCTTATTAAATTACTTCCGTCTCCTCATATGATGTTTACTAATTCACCCTGCCTCGTTGTTTTCTCATAAAATCTATAGATGAAATATATTTCCAGAGTTTTCTCAGGGTCACAAAGAAGTGGCAGCCTAGTTGTCAGAGAAGATTTGGTGATAGTTGACATAGGGTGGATATTTGGTGTTGGAGATAACGCAGGGGTGGGGGGTACCCCACAGGATTTCATAGCCAGCTTCTCACCCCTTGCTTATCCCTAAAGCTTCAGTGCTAATAGAAGTAATGGCTTTAGGTGGATTATAATTCACAAATGAGAATTTGATATCAGTCGGTATTCCATAATTTATTTTTGAAAAGCAGTCTTATCAGGGAATCGAGTTCCCAAGAGAAAGGGAAGGAAACAGTTATAACATGCTGTATGGAGAGTGAAGTTTCACTTTCAAAATCTAGAACTCTGGTTCCTATGGAAACATATGTTCTTTCATAACGTATACCAGGCTTGTGAAGTCATTCTCAAAGACTTTTGAGAAGAAGCAGGAGTACTCAGCCTTTCTGTACATGTCAGCGATTTCCAGGTCTCTCTTCTACAAGCATGCTTTTGAGCCAAGCCACTGCTTTGCAAACTAAAATTTAAAAGTGTCAACCATTCCCTTATATACCAGGAACCCAGCTTAGAAAGAAAGAGCACTTTTATGTGTTCATGTATGTGAGATTTATAAAGAAGGAGTGTCCATGCCCCACCTTTGTTTGGCCAGTAATCCAAACTCTGACAGGACAGCTCAGCCAGTTAGTGTGGATAAACCAACCTTGGGCATATAGACAGGCCCAGCCTCCAACCAACATATGTTAGTTGGAGAAGATGAGAGATAGTTGGGAGTGGTAAAGCTTATGTTACAGTAAGATAGGACTATTTACCTACTGCTTTGGCCTGCAGTTTGCGGCTTCTAGAAATCACAGAGGACTGCCTTGTCCCTGTCCCCACATGCTCCCAGAATCTCTGATGGGCGGGCTCATCTGAGAAAACCAATACTGAGCAAAGTACCAGAGCCCAGGTTCTCAAGAGCTTTCTGGCACTGTTTGCCTGAGAGCCCACCTCTGGAGGCCTTCATTTCTGGATCTGTAAATGAGGGGTGAGATTGCCCAGCTTGTGAGGACTGTAGCTTCTGGCATTCCCGAGGAGAAGGGAGGCTATCTGGGATGCCATTAGAAACCTCTGTGTGTTAGCTGTTTTGTGTGAGTCGGCTGTTATTAGGTTGCCTTTTTTTTTTTTCAGATGAGGAAACTCAGGCCTATAGAATGCTTCAATATGAAATGACTTGTCAAGTCACATCGCTAGTAAATTGGCCAGTTCATGCATCTGTATCTTAAAGGCACAAATTTTCTGTATATAGGAATAGTATGAAAAATTTTGTAGGGATTTCAAATCTGAGTGTATAAGCCAAGATTCCAAATCATACCTCAAAATTGACACCAGTAACAAAACCATCTGGTTGGATGAGTTCACCAGATGGGCCTCTGATGGGACGGCCCCAACATGACAACATACATACTCACTCTGAAATTCACTGGCAGGAATTTTGTAGTGTATTTGAAGTAGAAAGATCAAGGTCAGAGGGAAGCCTACAAACCTAATATTTTGGGAGGTTTCATCATAGCCCTAAACTGCTCATGCATCACTTGGCCAAAAACGGATGTATTGCCAAACAGCTACCCTACAGAAGTGTGGGGCCACTTAATTAAAGCATTGCCAGCGCTTTGATATATGGGGTATACATGCATTACTAGCTCAGGTCTCCCTTTTTAAGCAAAAGGATGTCTGATTATCAGAGTATGGCCGTCTTTACTTGGGGTATTTTTAGTCTATTCTGTGGCTTATTTCACCCTCTGAGAAATTTGACATCCAGTTCCCAGATCATAAATCCCACCCACAGAGTGTGGGTGTATGGAGAGAAGTGAAGAAGGTTGACACAAACGTGTCAACCACGCAGTCTGTTTTACCACTCAACGGGGTAGTTTGATATCAGCCAAGTATTTTGCTCCATGACTGTGGGAAATTCTAATCCAATCCAGCCTACTTAGAGTATGAGACTTTTTCTTTCCACTTTATCTTCTCTGAAAGTTTCTAGTAACATATCTCCAAATAATTATTGAACTTGATAGCCTCAGCCAGCCAGACAAGCCTTCCCTGTTGTTAGATTGTGACAGTGTTGTTTTTGTTCGTAAAAAATAAATAAATAAAACCAAGTCAGGTCAGCCAACACAGTTGAAAGTTTGAAAGTCCCTTTGCGTGACCTCATCTAGTTCAGTGGAGAGAAACTCTCTAACTACCAGCCAGGATTAGGTAATGCAAGGGGGAGAGGCATCTGACATGTGGCCTCCGGATCAGGGAGATGGTAGGGAGCTGGGGGACAGGTGCCACCTCTGAAGAGGGCAACCCTTACTTAGCTCTGGCTGATTAGTGGGGGTGGGGATGTGAATACAGCTTTGCCAGACCTTTAGATTTTTTTCCACAAAAACCCAGAAATCTGGATTTTTTTATGTTAAATACCTAAATTTTGTTTTCTAACATTGGCCGAATTCACATGGACAGCCAGCACTTGCAGGCCACACCAACCATGTCTCCAGGCCAAGTTCCAACTGCCAGCGTGGAGCCTCTGCTCGGGTTTTCTTTTAGGAAGTGTTTGGTGAGCCTGGAAGTTCTCATTTAACTCTTGCGGTACATTAACTTTGGAACAATGGTATGTCCCAACCATAGGTGACTGTGTAGCTTGTTTTCTTTTCGTCTTTATTTTGCCAAGAAAATATTCTGTTCTGCCTACCAGGAGACCCGAAATGTTCCCTTGGTGACTAGATATTTGACTTTGTTCAGGTCGGTTTATTTTTTTCGCACCTGAGGGTCTTTAAGAGATGTTGTTGGACTAAAGGATTAAACAGCAGTTCTTTCTTACTCTAAAATTTTGGAATATAGTAAACGATCTCAAAAGCACTAGGCAGGAAACAGAACTGGCTTCCCATCCTGGCTTTATATGACTGTGGTCCACTCCACTTTCCTGACCTTGTTTGTTCACCTGTTGAAAAGACTGGAGATAATGCTTTGCGGTTGGGTGCTCCGAGATGAGATTGGAAGTGCTATAGAGAGCTCCTGCTTTACCACCTCAAGTAGAAGTTGAGTAGTATTAGGGTGATTGTAAGGTGCTAGGTAATCACCTAGAAGTGTCAAAAACAGTTTCAGAGATTTCTTTTTAACCTCAAACACTCCGCTAAGACAAAATCATTTGCTTTGGAAATTGACCCTGCAGTCTTCACTACTGCCTGAAATTAACAAGATTGGCCCCTAAAAGCATATAGAATGAGCTGGCAGGGACCAGAATCCACATACTTGAACCTCAGGGCTCGAAGTTTTAAAGAGCAAAATTGGCAATGCAGCTTTTGTTGTGTTTTAGTATATAAAAGAGAAACATTAGATACGGTATAACAGTACTAATGTTTAATGCTTATTCTACACATAATTGGCTAAAATTTTTTCA